TTAGCTCCTCCTGCTACACCACAACTTAACGGTGTTTCAGAGAGGAGGAATAGGACCTTAATGGATATGGTCCGATCACTTGTCATACACTCAGAATTACCTACATCCTTTTGGGGCTACGCATTAGAGACTGCGATTTACGTGCTGAATCGGGTTCCAACCAAATCGGTTCCGAACACTCCATATGAACTTGGAACCGGAAAAAACCAAGTGTTAGACAGTTGAAGATTTGGGGTTGTCCAGCACACGTTAAAAGAACGAGTGCAGATAAGTTGGAATCCAAGACCAGCCCAAAAGGCTCTGTGGGCTACCTATTCTATGACCCAAGTGAGCAGAAGGTGTTCTGCAGCCGAAATGCACAATTCTTAGAAATAGATTACATCCTGGACACCCATCGTCAGGAAGTTGTTCTTGATGAGGAGAGATCAGGAGCAGTGGGAGATGTCCCACAAGTTCCAGGTAGTGACCAATCTAGAAGATCCACTCGAGTATCCAGGCCACCAGTCCGTTATGGTTATGACTAGGATATTTACCTGGTGTAAACCTTGACTAGTGAGGAGGATTCCGTGACTTATGCGGAAGCTATGTTGGACATAGATTCCCAGAAGTGGGTGGAGGCCATGAGAGCTGAGATGGACTCAATGGAAACCAATGGAGTCTGGACTCTAATAGATCCGCCCTCCGGGGTAAAAGCAACCGGTTGCAAATGAATTTACAAGAGGAAGAAGGGCCTCGATGGTAGGGTTGAGACCTTCAAAGCTCGTTTAGTGGCGAAAGGGTACACTCAGAAAAAGGGCATCGATTATGAGGAAACCTTTTCGCCTGTGGCCATGCTTAAATCCATTAGAATCCTGCTAGCTGTAACAGCATACCATGATTATGAGATTTGACAGATGGATGTCAAAACTGCATTCATGAATGGAGATCTTACTGAAGATATCTACATGCAGCAGTCGCAAGGCTTCATTGCTGCTAGTCAGGAACACATGGTATGTAAACTTAATAGATCCATTTATGGACTTAAGCAAGTTGTAGGAGTTGGAACATCCGTTTTGACTCTGTTGTCAAATCGTTTGACTTCAAGCAGAATCCGGATGAACCCTGTGTTTACATAAAGTATAGTGGGGACAAGGTTACCTTTTAGGTTTTGTATGTAGATGACATTCTACTCATTGGAAATGATGTAGGATTGTTAAATACGGTGAAAGTATGGCTTTTATAGCAATTCTCCATGAAAGATCTTAGAGAAGCCTCCTATATACTAGGTATTCGACTCTATAGAGATAGATCGAAGCGGATAATAGGATTATCCCAATCTACTTACATTGACAAAATAGTCAAAAGATACAGCATGGAGAACTCCAAGAAAGGAAATGTTCATTTCAGGCACGGAGATTGGGGCGGTAGCCTTTACACAACACCAAGATTTCTAGTCTTCAGCGAGCTGAAATCATAGAAGAAAGATTTCTGCAATCTCTGTGAAATTCTTTCTTGCTGCCTCCTTCCTACCGCCGCCAGACCTCCAGTTCGATCTCCAACTTTGTAGGAGAAATCAATATTCGATCTTGATAGCAGCCCTTTGTGAAAGGACTGATTGGAAGCAGTGCTCATGTGTCATCTAGCTATTCTTACGAAGGATCAGGTTCTTGGGAAACGTTGTTGATTCTACTCCATCCTGCACTGCGCCATTTTCAGTGGGAGCAGTCTTTGGATCCTTCCTTGGGCGTGAACACCTCCATTGAGAGATAATATTTCTCTGTATCAGGTATACCTCTCTCCTAATCCTTTTGGTTCAGATCTGGTTCAGTTTATGGTTCAAGATTGATTCTTGAAAATATGATTTTCTAAATGGAGAATGCGATTCCCAGTTGAAGGGTGCCAATATCGCGACTGTTGGAGTAACTTGCCGTACCATGCGCCACAAAAACTAAGCAAACGAACTATAACCGCCGCGCAGATCTTGCAACTGATGCATTAATATGCCTTGTATTGCGGAAACAGCTCTGCCAGAAACTCAAGAACTTTGCCGAAGCACCTTGAACATTTGATGGCTATAAAAGGAGACCGAATTCACCTGGGGAGGTATGCGCATTAATACTCTCAAGCTCTCTCACACTCCCAAAGAAATCCCCATTCACCTACTAACTTAATTATCCGAGTGCCCTCTCCGAGTAAAAAACTGCCTGTGCACTCTCACCTTTCTTCCCTTGCAACTCACTTTAGTTTAGATATCCAGACATCAACTCGACCACATAGATCAACATCCAGTCAGAGTCTGAATTACAGTACACGGGGGAGCGTCTTTTATTTAGAAGAATAGGCTCTTTAAACAATTGATTGGTAAAATAGGATATATATCTTTATATATAGAGAGATTATGTATCTATTGAATTTGCTCTGCCAAATCCATGGTTTGCAGTATGTGATCATCACAGAGAGCATCTTTTGTTTAGCTTTTTCTATTAAAATTTTCCTATGAATGATCCAACGGAAAGAAAAAAAAATCAAGTGGGAAATCAAGTGGGAGAAGAGATTGATACTTGGATGGGATTAGGGCTATAGATTGAAAGGAAAAGAAAAAGAAAATTGGGGTATGGAGAAAGAGAGAATTGATGGTCTGAAGGAGTGAAGTTTTTCACACCATTTACATCAAAACAAAATAAAGGGTAAAGGAAACAAAGTTATCTATCTATCAATATAACTATCTTTATCATGGTTTTTAAAAACGAACTGGTGACTGAATCGGTCAGGGGTATGGTTATCGGTTCAAACGGTTTGACCGTTTGATTCGAATAGCCGGCCCATTCTGACAAAAAAATAAAAAATAAATAAAAAAATTGAAAAAAACAGTCAAAACCATTTAAACGATTAATCAACCAGTTCAACGATTTGCTAATCAAAATCAACGGTTTTGAGGAAAATGGAACTGGTCAAGTGACCGGTTCCCGGTTTTTCCGATCCGGTCCGGTTTTGAAAACCATGATCTTTATATCTATCTATATATACTTGAAGCCAAAGGGTGAACGCGGGCCTGACACGAGGTTGCTTCCTCCTTCTCCCACGCCTCCCTCTTCCCGCCTCGCTCTTCTCTCTCTTTTACGCGGGCGGACATCTTTCGCATAGCTTCGCTCTTCTCTCTTCTCTCTTCTCTACGCGGGGCCATTTTTTGTGTCTACTTGTCTCTCTTTGGGGCCCACTCTTTTTTTTTCCCTCTCTCTCTCTCTCTTTCCTCTCACCTGCCTTTCTCATCCCACTCGCTTCTCTATCTTTCCAACCTCTTCCCCGCCTCTCTCCTCTCTCTTCTCTCTTTTGAACACGTGCCTGCCTCTCTCTTATCTCTTTCGAACACGTGTCTGCCTCTCTCTTTCCCCGCTCACTCTCTCTTTCTCTCGCCTCTCCCGGTCTCCCCCGCCTCATGTGTGAGTGTGAGGAGCTGATTCCGTTCCCTCTTCTCTCTCTACTGCCACTCTATCCGAACACTTGTCCCGGTTAATCATGTCGCAGAGCCCTGAAAATCCGCAATTGTGTATGGCATATGTTGATTTGAATGATTCGACCGGTTAATCATGTTAAGTGCTGAAAATCCACAATTATCTTCGAACGGTTTGGATTAAACGTAGATTTGAATGCTTTCGACCGATTAATCAAGTATTCAAGTTGCAGTTCTGACATGCTAAAAATCCGCAATTGTCTCTGCCACCCAAAATCCTGCGATTTTAGATCGAACGGTTCTAAATTAATGCGAATGCGATCGAACTGTTATGGATTAAACCTAGATTTGAATGATTCGACTGGTTAATCATGTTTCAGTGCTGACGTGCTTCGCACGCGCTGATTTGTCTCCGCCGCCCAAAAACCCACGATTTTAGATGTGAATGCGACCGAACGGTTATTAATTAATACGAATTCGATCGAACGGTTATAGATTACTTGTACATTACTGACGTGATGCTACGGAGTTCAAATCTGCGCCCCCCCGGCGCCCCCACAAACGCCCCACACAATTGGAAGGCGCTAAGTGTCTTCTCGCACGAATTCCTCCCTCAGCGTGCGTAGAGCTAACGAAACGGCCGTTAGCTCTAAATTCCCTCAACATGATTTCCCTCTTAATGCGTGTGGAGCTAACATGACAGACGTTAGCTCCAAATTCCCACTACTCTCAACTCTTGACCTGCCCTCGTCTCTTGACCCTTGTATTCCTCCATCCGAACTAATGGTGAGAACTCCGGCAAAGACGACCACTCCGACAAATACACCGGAGGTACTCCCCGTCCCTCTCATCTCATCCCTCTTTAACATCCTTTACATGTTTTGCTGAGTTATTTTTTATCTTATTTTTTTTTTTCAATACAAAACACAGAAGGGAAGGGAGATCACCAGCGACCACCCGACCATTATACAGGTTCAGTTTTTCCCTATTCATTCTCATTTATTTTTTTATTGCATCAAAACTTGGATTTTCTAATAAAAATAGAAAAAGTGAATTCTATGTAAAAACACCCAGATTCAAAATTAAGAATATCCATATTCAATGAATGCCTCAAATTTTGTTCTTTTTCTACTGTTAAAATAAGATGAATCCTATTTTGTGCAAAAAAAAAGAACACCCATATTCAAGTAACGCGCCAAAATATTGATTTCTAGTGATCCAATACTCCGACTCGCGTAGATCAATTGACGCTCACTTACATTGGTGATGGAACCAGAGCCAGGCGAGAGAACTCTCACTAGGGAACACCAAATCATTCTCCTCCGAAGCAAGTGCTTCCCCGAGGATTACACATGCGAATGCGAGATCTTCCTGATGTTGGATAGTAGAACCGCCAAGGATTCAACATACCGGAGATAGTTCGACATCTTTTAGCTTCTTGGCCCCGTCCGGTATGGCCATCGAAAACAAAAATTTCCTCCCTGGAGCAGAAGAAGAAAAAGAGCGATTGATGAATAGAAAGTTGGAGGAGAGAAGTAGAGACTACTGGCAAACGGGGAATACCTCCAGTGTGTCTGCCGGAGCGGTCTTCGTCGCCGGAGTTCTTGCCATTAGCTCAGATGTAGAAGTGTAGGGGTGGGTCAAAGTTAGATAGAGGAGGCCAGCCAAGTCGAGAGTCGAGACTCGAGAGTAGCGGGAATTTGGAGTTAACGGCCGTCCCGTTAGCTCTATGCACGCTGAGGGAGGAAATCGTGCGAGAGGACACTTGGCGCCTTCCGATTGTGGGGGGCGCAGATTTGAACTCTAAACAATAAACACCGATACATCAAAAATCAAGCAAACACCGCCATTGATTTTCACCACTCATTTTTCATCGCTATCTAATGGTCTTTCGATCTGTGTGCTACTCTCTCCTTAATTGTTCACCGCCAGACACCAAACTGGAACTATTATATAAATCAAAGACTACTAAGCTCCGGAAAATATTCAAAAATTTGTAGCATTTACCTCCTCTGATTCCGTAGACCTATTACTAAACTGCTACTAATTAAGATTCTGGGATCTGAGATACGGAAGAAGGCTGCATTGAGGGAGCAGTAAAGCTGGTCTTCAGTGGCTGGATGAGAACCAGAGAGGTGAGGAGGAGGATTATGATGAGAAGCTCAAAAAAGGTAGAGACTGTTTGCAACCCAATCATCGTTGTTGTCTATCAAAGGACTGGTGGATCAAATGGAACGATGATTCACATGATGAGTTTTAGAAATCATGCTTTCAATTTTCTCAAATTATTCAAAATTTAATCTTCATATCATAAGAAATCATGCTTTCAATTTTCTATACATTCAACAACACCTCCTTTTATATTCATAGGGGATTGTAGGAACTCATACATCGGAGAAAGCATCTCTCGAAACAAGCGTCAAAAATCAATTCCGTAGAAGACCCTGCTTCTCTTCGTCCTTTCGCTAACTTTTGTACCAACTAACAGCTATGTTTGCAAATGTTACTCTATTAACAATACTATTTTTGAAACTCCGTTTTGCTATATTACTAAAATACACTTTCTTTTTTAATATTCTTTGTTATCTAATCAATGATTTTGTGCTGCCCCATTAGGGGTAATTTTTGGTTCAAATAGAAACTGAAATCAGAATCAGCCAAAGTTTCCAATTCTACTCCTGTTAAAAGAAGCCCCATTATTCCTCTTTCTCCAATTAAATCAAAAAATAAATATGATCCAGTATATTACGCACTTTCACTGCCACCCAGTTGGTTGACAGCTTCTACAAAAGCACTCATGGAGCTCTGGGGTCCAACGCATACGTGGAATGTTTGGAACACCAGAGACTGATGAAGAAGGGCTAGCCACAGACGAAAGTTCACCAGAAAGAACAGGAATCTGCTGATGAACTTGAGGCTGCTGCACCAAGAAATTTTGCGGGGGTTTCGGTGCCTGATATGCTGTCTAAATAAAATCAGAAGAAAATAAAGGACAGACATGAGTTCCACAAGTACCCCTGTTTCTTTTTAAAAATGGATATAAAAAGAAGATTTATAACCTTTACCCTACATACTACAATGCCTTTGGATAAATAATTAAAAAAACTAACCTCTAATTCAGTATCTTCAACATTGGTGTCAGCACTTTTAATTATTTATCCAAAGGTGCAACAGGAACCACCCTTGTTGGAATCATTAACATGCGGTGATGCACATTTTAGTCCCTGCAATGCAAGTAATAAAGGAATTGAAACTACAACTTCATTTGATATTATGACTCAAATATACATGGTGGACAGACAGTATTGTGAGTGGTTCTGTGTCTATGTTGGTACAAGTGCCAATATCTGGTTCCTTACGATTCTCATGCACTTGCGTCTCTCTCCACAAATTGGAAGGTTCTGAGAACAACATGGCTGCAAGCTCTTACCTGCAGAATCTATTATCTGGGCAACTTCAGCAGGGGGATACTGCCGCTCAGTGCATGTCTGCATTTTTTTATAAGGTAGTAGTACTTAGCACCAGGGGAACGAAATAACACAAATTTTCAGAATATAGATTGTGTAAACCAATTGAAGAGGACAACTTCTACAATAAAATTTTAAAGCTTCAAAAACTAGCCGAAACAGAGAATTTGTGTTGGACTATTTGCTTCCCCGGCACCATATGGTGAGGCCTCTGGCCCCTCCCTGTGGTCTGTATGTCATTATTTTGGTGCTGCAGGCCTTATCAACAAATGAGTCATTAACAGTTTTATTGACCATAAATATTATCAATGAATGAGAAGACATGTGCCGAACCACCCCACTATTGGAGGCCAATTGAGTTGCATGTGGAGGCACAGAATTTGCCATTATTTCCCTTTCCAATGAAACCTGTTGGGAATCTGGCAATTTGGGATACTTCTCTTCCAGAGAGGTGGGAAGAACTGGTGAAGATGAAGACATGGCTCCAGATGCTAACAAGTTACTGAGCTGCCTTGCACCAGATCTCTGAAAGGATAAAGTAGTGCATTCCTCCATTATTTTCCATATATCAAGAAATGCACACAATATCTGAGATTCATCCACCTAATATTGGTTTGCTATATTGATCAAACAAAAAATATTGGTTTGCTATGGCTCAACAACTCTGTTTTAATAATACTCACCAAATTAAGCCCCTATTAGCGGCTTTATTGCAGAATCCAAAATGTAATACTACAGAGCTCTCATCAGTTTTGGCATCTGTTAAAAGAATGCGTGAATGTAGAATATCAATAAGCAGGAATCACCCTAGAATGTAAGATATTTGGGAGAAGATATTGAATAAAAACCGAAATATACTCTCAGTTTGAATGGCATAACAAACAACCCTATACACATGACAACATTGACAGCACCCATGAATTAATGATATTCTCAAATCTCAACGCAAGAAAAAGTCAACTTTATAAATGAATTTAGAGCAACATAACGGAGAAGCTTCATACGTGAATCATGAACTCTAGTATAGATATTTTATATACAAAATGATAATTCCACCAGAAATGGCCTTGTTTTGCACTACCAGTGCCAAGCCCAAACAAGTGTTGGCAGAGCTGGATTTGTTTTTTTTTTAATTATTTATTATTATTATTTTTTTGGGGGTGGGAGTTTACCAGGGCGCAGGGTGTCAGCAAGAAGACAATACATTGATGCTTGATTCCATAGACATCCACAATGCTTTAAAAATGTATATCTATCTGATAATTCTGGCATGTCTCAGTCTCCTCGGTGACTGGTGTGCACATAAAAAATGCTAGGATCTTAAATCTAATTGCAACTCATGAAGAATCTTTGATATATTTAGCTGCAATGGCATATGTTCCCCTGCTAAAAGGCTTAAGTAAAACTTTGATTTATGAAATAGAACCATTCTACAACGCAAAGGCTTTTGAAAGGCTATTAATTAGTATAAAATGCAATTCTGCCACTACCAATCCAACAACATTCCATGATTGGGGAAGCTAGGGAAACTGGGAATGGAACAAGACCTACAAAAGGTATCTATACTTGGAGGCCTTATCCTTAGGTGTTGCCTGTAAAAGGCCATTACCCAGCTATCTAGGGTCTTGGGAAGGGTGGACTGCATCCAGATTTAACCTTTGGCATGTTTTTACCACTACACCAAGCAAATGGCCCCTAACCTAGGTGATGCATCTCATTTTCAAAATTCACAAGTTACAATGATAATAGTTAACCAAATGCATGTACTGTTTAATTTCTGTGCTTATGGTCTGTTTGCTTAGTAATCAAAATATTATGTGGGCCGTTATGCAGAAGTGATTTACTTTACATATTTGTGGTTTGTTGATTCTACAAGTGCAATCCTTGTATCATCCAAACCGTTTGCAATCTCTGAAACTTACCATCTAGTCTGTAGCTGATTAAAAACAGAAAAAATAAAGACAGGAACGGAAGAACATGATCTTCATTCAGATGGGTTCTCTTGCATGTATTTTGAAAACTGTTGCTTTCTGACTCTGACCAGGAAACAGAGAGAGAGAGACCAAGCTATTTTCTTTGGTTGTTGCATCCATTTTGCTTTGACCAAGGACTATTTCTTTCTTACATTATGGTTTCTTATCCCTTCTAACTTTGTACTCTTTTCTTTCTTGTGTGCATCGAACAAATCTGAGTACGTTATGTACAAGCTTAAGGAGATGGGGAAGATAGCAGAGAAAGATATCCTGCAGATTTGCAACCAGTTTGACAGGCTAGACACAGGCGATTGTGGGAAGATCACACTCCCTGATATTATGGAAAATCATCATTGAGTTGATATGGAAAATCAATCGCCCATGTTGGTTTCAATGCATGACCAGCTATAGTAGATGAACAATCTTCCTGCTTCATCTGAGATTTTATGAAGATTTTATATGAATAACAGAAGAGAGAGAGAGAGAGAATCTTTTCTTTTTGGAGATTAAAAGGAAGAATGGGGAAACTCCAAAATAGAGAGAATGCAATACAAAAAACAAACAGATGGCTGACAAAAAGATTTACCACAAAAGTAAATCCGTAAGGATACTGGATTAAAATCTCTATTTACCCTCCAAATGCAAACACAAGATGACGAAATTAAATAACAGTTAAATGCATATTGAAAAAAACGAAATGGATCAAATTCCAGCAAAAGAGAAAATCCAATCAGAATTATATTTGAAAGACCAAGCACGTGAAGCGAAGTTTCGCATAGGTGTTCCGACAATAAGATGTACGATCATCACCAAGTGAAGTAGAATGGTGGTTTACATACCGATTAAAACGAAATGGTTCATCTCTCTGTTTGGCGATGGAAGAAGGCTTGGAGTTCTCGCAATCTCTCTTTTTGTCTCTTCGACTGGATTGAAAATGGGAAAACTCCAATCTCCAATCTCCTGTTTCGTCTCTTCGACTAGATCGAAAATAAGGAGAGCATTTTCGTCAAAAGAAAAACAAATCATAAACCGGAATGAGAATCACATTCCCTGGGGAGGGGTCGGGAATGGCCATTCCCCCATACGATGGGAATCCCATCAACCAAGCACTTGGAATGAGAATGGGCCATTCCAATTCTGATTCCAGGCTACTACTATTCCTTCGAACCAAACAGACCCGAATTTTATTTTTTGTCGTTTCATATTGATAACCAAATGACGATGTTTCATCACTTGGTGCTTACTGCTTAGTAGGATAACAAGTAGATATTACGTTACATACAAGACAGTGTCTTGTGAAGAAGAAGAAGAAGAAGATATTAAGAATAGGGATGTTTGCAATTATTTGATTTTGATGTACCTATTAACATATTTGATTTAATGTTCAACTAACCTCATACTGAGCTCTCTCAATGAAAGCGAGATTGTTAGGTCCTACAGTCCAACCCATTTAATTAAGCTGGTGCAGGTGTAACAACTCACAAACGTCAATGAAATTATATAACTTGAGTACCGAATTTGTTAGATGGGGTTGAGGACCTTCTGGTACAAGCTTTCTTTTCTGATAAGCATGCTATCGCCTATGAGTCTTCATATCCACGTGAGAAAGACTCTGATTTTATTTATTTTTATTTATTTTCGGTTGAGGTGGCAGTGGGTTCTTGTTGTGTTCTCCTTTTTGGCATTTTACGGCGTCTGAATTTGATGCAACAACGGAATAGATGTGTTCTCCTTGTTGACACTTGTCCATTAAAATATTTCTAACCTATCTTTGAAAAAAATTAATATTTATCAATTATTCATTTAACATATTTACTTTGTTGTACTTGTACCTACTTGATCTGGTCCCGGATCCGATTATCACGCATTGTGCCTTGTGGGCATCAAACTTCATCATTCTGCAACCATCGGGTCGTATTATCGGTTGGACTTGGACGCCACGTGGGCCTTTTTCTACATTCCTCCAAATTATTAAGTCCAAACGCCACGCGGCCCACGCCCTTTACTTTTCCATCATTCTTTGCTATATATATTGTCACATATGTGGACTGTCGTTGAAGACTTGAAGGTGTGGGTATATATACGATAACCTGTCCGGATCAAATTCAAGAGGGGTTCCAATTCATCCAACTCTCAAATACAATACGAGAATGGATGCATATGATATCGGAGAACTATGTATAAATACAAATTCACTCTTATACTAAAATTTAATTAATTAAAATAAAATAATGAGTATAGAAAATTAGGTCACTTTATTACATAAATACTAATATGATGTTAATCTGATATATACATATATATAATAAAGTAGAATGATGTTACTTCATGGCCCGAGCTTTCTCCATGGAGAACTTTCAGCCTCTCTCATTTTATCCTTCCTTGCTCCCTCATGAAGCCACATCATCACTCCCTTCTCCCTCTTTCATAATGACACCTCGTCATGTTTGGCCCACCCCTCTTTCCTCTATGTTTATCCCTTCCTAAAACTATTCCTAAAATCTCTCTCTACCAAAATCTAATCTAATCTAGCCAAGTGACACTATTATCCCCCACCTTTTAAAAAATTATCTATAATTCTTATTTATCTCTTCAATTATCTCTAATTTAGTAGAGTTTATCTCCTAAATTATCTCTAATTCCTATTTATCCTCTCCTCCACTTTTCATCTATATCTATCAAAAGAAAGTTTGAATTAAAAAAAAAATTTAAGAATTACTTAAATATTATCATAAAATTATGTAATAACTTTAAAATATTTATTAAAAACACAAAAAAATCGTAGATTTAATAATTTTTATATTATTAATTATTTTATTCTTTTACGAAATTCATAACAAAATTTTATACTATATAAATTATAATTTTATGAATTATTCAATTTAATTACTTAATTAATTAGCACTATTTTATGATATTTATTTAATTATTTAACTTATTTAATTAATTAATAGTATTAGAAATACATTATTTAATTGTATTTGTTAATTAGTTACAGTATTTATTTAATTAAATACCATAGTTAAAAAATACTGTTACAAAAAATACATCTAATATTGTTAAATAATTAAATAAATACCATAATAATAAAAATATTAATTAATGAATGTCTAATTAATTATATCAAAATACTGTTAATTAATTAATAATATTTTCCATAAATACTATTTATTAATTAAATATTAAATAATTAAATAAATACCATAATAATAAAAATATTAATTAATGAATGTCTAATTAATTATATCAAAATACTGTTAATTAATTAATAATATTTTCCATAAATACTATTTATTAATTAAATATTAAATAATTAAATAAATACCATAATTAATAACAAAAGTATCATTAAAAATAGTGTAATTAATTATGGTATATATTTATTTATTTTAGGTATTTTTGTAATTTTTGTAAGCTCAAGGGTGTATTTTAGTCAATTTGGACTTAAGGAGGCCAAAACAAAATTTTAATCTAATGGTGGGTACTTTGGGTTAAAAAATGAAGGAAGAAGATGGATTTGAGTATACATAGTAGTTTTGCGTGTACGGGCCAATGAGACTAGCCAAAATGGAACATGGGTATTTTTAGATGTAATTTTACAGGGTGGGGTTTCTAGGTATTTTGAATCAATTGGTGGGGTCAGATTGGCCTAAATAGGTTCGGATTAGGTAAATCTTTAGGGGTACTGATTAGGTTAATTTATTAATTTTGAAAAATAATTTTGGTGTAATGGAGGGGAAAATGAGGCAATTTTTTGTTGAAATTTGGTAGGGTGGTGTTTTTGAGCATTATGCATTGATTGGTAGGGTTAGATTGGCCTAATTATGTCGAGATCAGGCAGATTCATAAAGGATTAGGCAAATCTTCAGGGATAGTGATTAGGTTAATTTATTAATTTTGAAAAAGAATTTTGGTGTAATGGAGGGGAAAATGAGGCAATTTTTTTTGTTGAAATTCGGTAGGGTTGTGTTTTTGAGCATTATGGGTTGATTGGTAGGGTCAGATTAGCCTAATTATGCCAAGATCGGGCAGATTCATAAAGGACTTGATCTAGTAAATGCAAAGCTTTGAAACAGAATTTTGGTTTAATTGCGGGGCAAACAAAGGTATTTTGGGCTGAATTTTTGTGGGTAGGGTTTTTAGGGTGTTTAAAAATTTATGGAAATATCTGATTGATTTTTGGGGCCAAAATCATGAAAATTTGGGTCAATAAGAGCATCCGAAATAGAATATTTATTCAATGATGGGGCAAATGGGAAAATTTATCGATAGATGTTTGGGTGTGTCTAGGATTCAATTGTGTCGTATAATTGATTCAGAGGTGTTAGGATGAAGGAGATTTGGGTTGTGGGTGCTTTAAGCTAACGAAAGGGTTCGATAGACAATCTTGGTTTGATAAAAGTATAAATGAAGAGGAATCTTGGGTTGAAATTTCAGGGGTAGATATTTAAGTAGGTCCTATGTTTGATGACAGTGTTCGGAGATTTTTAGTACTCAGGAAGGATCAGAACAATATGATCAGGTATTCAGGGTAAATTGGGGTTTTGATGGGAATTGAGCAAAAATCAAGTATTGACAATGGGGTTTCTAGAGGTATTGGTCTCTTGGATCATTTGGTGGGGTTTGATTGGTCTATAAATGGTATGATCAAAGGCATTTAAGAAATAATTATCTTGGCCAATGAGATAGCGCAAATTAAAATCTTAGTACGATGAAGGTTAAATGGGGGATATCTGTAATGAAATTTTGTGGTAAGGTGTTTATAAATATCTAGGGCTCTTTAAAAGCCCATTAACTCTAATGTTCAATTTGGTTAAAAATTCCCATGCATCGCACGTGTTTTGACTAGTATATAATAAAGTTGAATGATGCCATGTCATGGTCTAAGCTTTCTCCATTGCCCCAATCGAGAATTTTCAGGTGCTTTCATTTTAACCTTCTTTTCTCCCTCATGAAGCCACCTCATCACTCCCTTCTCCCTCTTTCATAATGACACCTCATCATGCTTGGCCCACCCCTCTTTCCTCTATGTTTATCCTTGTGGATATTGCTTCCTAAAACTATTCCTAAAATCTCTCTCAACCAAAATCTAATCTAATCTAATCTAGCCAAATGGCATCACTATCTCCCACTTTCTCCTAAATTATCTATAATTCCTTATCTCCTAAATTTTCTTTAATTCCTATTTATCATCTCCCCCACTTTTCATCTATATCTATCAGACGAAAGTTTGAATTAAAAAATTTAAGAATTATTTAAATATTATAATAAAATTATGTAATAAATTAAAAATTATTTATTAAAAACATAAAAAATATCAAAGATTTAATAATATTCATATTATTAATAATTTCTACTTTTATGAAATTCATAACAAAATTGTGTACTAACAATATAAATTATAATTTTATGAATTATTCAATTTAAATATTATTCAAATAATAAAAATTAAAAATTAAAAAATATCATGTAAAAATTTTAATAACTATATAATAAAACTTTCTCCCTTTCCCTAACCAAAACTCTTAGACACTCTTCATTTTAGCCTTTCTTGCTCCCTCAGGAAGCCACCTCGATCATCACTCCCTTCTCCCTCTCTCATAATGAGTTATTAATTTAATTAATTTATCAATATTAATTAACATTACTTTATGATATTTCTTTAATTATTTGATTTATTTAATTAAAGACCTTAGTTAATAAAAATACCATTACAAAAAATTCTTATAATATTATTAAATAATTAAATAAATACCATAATGAATAAAAATATTGTTAATTAATGAATTACTAATTAATTATATCAAAATACTGTTAATTAGTTAATAGTATTTTCATAAATACTGTTTACTAATTAAATAAATACGGTAATTAATAACAAAAGTATCATTAAAAAATTCCATAGTTAACTATGATATTTATTTATTTATTTAATTTAAGTATTTTGGTATGCTCGGGGGGGGGGGGGGATATTTTAGTCAATTTGGGTCTAAGGAGGCCAAAACAAAATTCAAATCTAATTGTGGGTATTTTGGGTTAAAAAAAATTAATGGTGGAGGTGGATTTGAGTATATACAATGGTTTTGCATGTACAAGCCATTGAGATTGGCCAAAATGAAACCTTTTTATATGGAGGAGGGCAAACAAAGGGCATTTTTTACTAAAATTTTACACGATGGGATTTTTAGGCATTTTTAATCGATTGGTATGGTTACATTTTCCTAAATAGCCTCGAATATGGCAGATCTAGAGGGGTAGTGATTCGGTTAATTTATTTACTTTCGAACAAAATCTTGGTATGATGAAGGGAAAATGAGGCAATTTTTTGTTGAAATTTGGCAGGGTGGTGTTTTAGAGCATTATGGGTTGACTGGTAGGGTCAAATTGGCCCAATTGTGCCAACATCAGATAGATTCAGAAAGGACTTGATCCGATCAATGCAAAGCTTTAAAATGGAATCTTAGTGTAATGGAGGGGAAAACAAATGTATTTTGGGATGAATTTTTGTGGGTAGAGTTTTTAGGGTGTCTAGGATCTTATGGAAACATCTGATTGATTTTGGAGGTCCAAAATCATGAAAGTTTGGATTAACGGGAGCATCCAAAATAGAAAAATTTGTTTAATGATAGGGTAAATGGGGGAATTTTAGGTTAAAAATTTATGGGTAGATATTTTTGGTGTGTCTAGGATTCAATTTTATGGTCTAATTGATCCTGAGGTGTTAGGATCAAAGAGATTTGGGTTGTGGATGCTTTAGGCTAACAAGAAGGTTCAAAAGGGAATCTTGATTTCATAAAAGAATAAACAGAGGGGAATGTTGGGTTAAAATTTCAGGGGTAGATATTTTAGGAGGTTCTAGGTCTGATGATGGTGTTTGGGGATTTTTTGGTACTTCAGAAGGATTGGAACTGTCTAATCAGGTGTTCACGATAAATTGGGGGTTTCGACAACGAATTGAACAAAAATTAGGTGTGTCAAAGGGGTTTCTAGAGAGAGGTATTGGTTTTTTGAATCATTTGGTGGGGTTTGATTGGTTTATAAATGGTATGATCATAGACATTTAAGAAATGAATATCTTGGCCATTAAGATAGCCCAAATTAAATTATTAGTGTGATGAAGGGTTATAGGAAATACCTGTGATGAAATTTTGTGGTAAAGTGTTTATAAGTAGCTAGGACTTTTTAAAAGCCCATTAACTCTAATTTATAATTTGGTAAAAAAATCTTGTACACGGATTCCTAGTAAATATAAGAGATTCAAATTGTAGGATATAAAAAATCTATTAACAAGATTAGGGTTGTGAGCACCAGACCCCAACCATGTTTGACGGATATTGGATCTTATTTACATCATTTACTCGCACATAAATTGCGGAATAAATTTTGTTTATAAGGTAGATGGAAAACGTGAAGTTACTTGCACCAACAAACATGTGTTTATATATGTCGTAGTACTCTCTCTGTCTACGATTGGAAAGGAATCATCTCCTTGGCCAATGACGTGGACGTTACATAATTATCTTCCTCGTGGATCATCAAGTCAATTGCCAATGCAAATGCCAAAACACCGTAATTTTGGTGACTTTGGCTTCAAGTAACAACATGAACCTGAACCACCCTTCTTCCAGCTTCCTAATTCCATTTTCATGCGCAATTTTTTTATGAGTGTTGAGATGCATGTGGGGAAAAAAATATATCTACAATTTGATCCTTTTCTGATTCGCTCGTTGTCTTCTCTTCGTTCCAACCAACACTACTGCTATTATATATACATACTCCTTTTTCGGGTTTGGGTTTGGGCTTCGATGTCCGTATGCCCTGGATCCACATAATTTAGCTCGAAATTACCCTTTATCTAAAGGGAAAATTATAGATTAATACTTTAAAAAGGTATTAATTTAATACCTAAATTTGTAAAATATACCAATTTAATATCTAGCGTTTATCAATATATATATATATATATATATATATATATATATATATATATATATATATATATTCTGGAACCCCCTTCGACCACCTAACACATTTATGATNTCTGGAACCCCCTTCGACCACCTAACACATTTATGATTTACCGTAGTTTCGTTGACAAAAGAATTATATTGTTACGTGTGGATGGATTGATTATGTGGCCGAGTTGGGGAAACTAGATCTATCCTAGTTGTTCACTTTGGTTGTCGGATCGATCGAATATTAAATGTGTTTCCACTTTAGTCCCACTTGTTCCGCAAAATATACATCACCGACACCTGTCATCCGTCGGCAGTCGGCACAAGTAGTGGGTTTGATGAGTTCATTAGATAAATACAACAGTAATAACAAAGGAATTGGTGGAACACCACAAAAGATATAGATATCATCGTTTACAATAAATAAAAATGGTCAGAATGGATGCTTCAGTCGATATTAATACTTAAATCACCTAATTATCGGATCTGTCCCACTAATAAGTTGAATGGAAACTCCCAAAGGTCAAAACTCACAAGTCAGGAGAGACTCCAGGAGACATGTTTCATGTTGTAATTACTTGGTTACAGATTTATAGTACTGTACACTTACGCTAAGCTCGTAAGCTTGGCATTTTAGTAAATTTAGGGTCAAACCCAGTGGCAATCCGGACTTTATGCGCATATATATATATATATATATATATATATATATATTATATCCCACCTGCGCCTCCGCCTCCGCCCAAACCTTCCAAAATTTTCGTTTGCATCAATCACGTGTTGAAATTGTGTGGTAATTCAAACTTCAAAGAGGAGGCTCGCTCGACTATGAGGCTGAGACCTGAGAGAGCCTGAGGCTGCGGTCCTGCTCACCGGAGTGGAATTATCCTTTACTCCCACGTGCGTCAAATCTCAAAACAGCACCAAAATTAATCCAGAAAAAGAAGGAAACGAATGATGAATCAATCCCCCTATTTATTGGACATATATATAAATCACACGAAGACGTCAGAGAAATCGTTGCGAGGTTGGTACTTGATACCACTAGAGACCAGGAGCAAGTGCGAAAGCCGAGAGATAACAACACCGAGCTCGCTCGCTCTCGAGGCAAGCAAACCTCAGACGCCACCGCCAACAACGATAGGGCCGAATCCATCAAGATAGATATCTAGATCTATGGAGTGGACGAGAGGGAAGCCCGTCGGCAGGGGAAGCTTTGCCACCGTTAATTTGGCGATACCCACAAGTGATAACAGTCTGCAGCTGGTTCAGGTCCCTCAATTGATGGTAGTGAAATCCGCTGTGCTTTCCGAGTCTTCTTCGCTTCAGGTCGAGAAAGAGATCCTGACCCATCTCCGAGGCTGTCCACAAATTCTTCCTTGTTTTGGCGATGATCTCACCGTTGAGAATGGGAAGCAAATTTACAATATTTTCCTCGAGTACGCTTCTGGAGGTACTTTAGCTGACCTGCTCAAGAAATCTGGCGGTTCGCTATTGGAATCTGATGTTCGACGTTATACGAGATCAATTCTCCGAGGTCTTCGTTTCATCCATGCGAATGGGTATGTCCATTGTGATATTAAGCTGCAAAACATCCTCCTCTGTTCTTCTCCAGATGGAAGCAACGAGATTAAGGTCGCCGATTTTGGGCTGGCGAAGAAGGCAGCACCAGGACAAGAGATCAGGAGAACGGAAGGTGGGGCGTTTGGATTAAGAGGTACTCCGCTTTACATGTCGCCGGAATCCATCGCCCACAATGAACACGAGGCGCCGGCCGACATATGGGCTCTGGGTTGTGCCGTGTCGGAGATGGTAATGGGTAAGCCGGCGTGGAAGTGTGGGGCTAACACCGACGTTAGCGCCCTACTGTTTCGCATTGGTTTCGGCGAAGAACTGCCCGAGATTCCAGGGGGATTGTCGGCAGAAGGGAAGGATTTCTTAAGTAAATGTCTTGTGAGAGATCCAGAACAGAGATGGACAGCGGAGATGCTATTGAATCATCCATTTGTAGCTGATGAGGCTGTTGTATTGTGCGAGCCCGACGTTCCATCCCCATCTCCGAGGAGCCCCTTCGATTTTCCCGAATGGAGCAGCTCCCCACGATCGTCAATTTCCAATTCGGAGAGCTGCACCTCTTCCGGGGCGTCATCGTCATCATCGGTCTTATTTTCTACTCGTTCAGAGGAACAGTTGGACCGACGCGATTCGATTACTTCTTCCCTAGTCAATCGAATTCGGCATCTGGTGACAGGGCAAGGGGCGAACTGGTCGACCTCAGGTAGTTGGATCACTGTAAGGGAAGCAGAGAGCTCCTCTGTTTCCCGGTGAAAATGGAATGGCGGAAGCCGAACAGGGGAGGAGGGATCAATCAAGCAGAGTGTTGTTTGATCGAACGGTGCTGATCTATTCCCCGACAGTAAAATTTGTTTAAATTGCATTAGTTTGTAAATATGTGGACCAACGATTTTGATTGATAGATCCGGATCCTGTACATAAATATAGAGATTCGATTTTTTAAAACATGAGGGGAGGAAATACGTGGATGGAAGGAGCACCCGATAGAATACCTTTTGAACTGTTGTTGTTATTCACGTGAAATACGTGGTCTTGAGCCTTGTAAGGCAGATGGCCCGAGCAATCTGATTCTGAAATATCATCTAACCCAATTCGATTATCTTTTCGTTTTTAATTTTAATTTTAAATCTTTTTTTTTTTAATGATGTTTTTGGGTGCACGAAAGGGGAAAGAAATTTCAGTAAGCAAGCGACAAAACCAAAAAGTATATAAATTCTATAGAGAGAAATAACATAAAATACTATTAAAAGAAGCGGAAGTATCCTCAAAGACAAGCAACGCGCGCGCGCGCGCGCGCGCTCTGTGTCCTCCGAACAAGATGGAATCGCCCTCGACTCTCCAGATACAATAAGTCCACAGGAAGAAGCTTGCGAGATGGCGAGATGTCTGGTTGGCGACAAAATCAGCTGCTGCATGATTTAATTCCTCAATGGAGAAATCACCTTGAAACCTTCAGCTTTGTCTCTTTGAAGTTAAGTTGAATTTTGGATTAATGAAGAAGCAAAGAGGAGAATTATTATATAGAGATGATCATGATCAGGTGATAAGCAAACATTAAAGTCTGTCATTTGATCCATGCATCATGTGTGATGTTAGCCCACATATAGGCCAGAGCAAAATTAGTTGATTGATGAGACTAAGCACTAACTGCAAGACAATATGTTTTTTCATTTGCTAAAAGATATACAACACCAATAGCTAAGAGACATTCTAGAAGAAAATTCCCTGACTGCGTTTGTGAAATCATCTATGATCTAACACCTCACCAGTCTTGGATTGGATCGGGGTGCTATCGGGTTTCGAATTCGGATTCGCATTCACTCCGATTCAGTTTCATTATTTTTTAAATAAAAATCAAAAAGTTTTAAGCAACTTCAACTGTTATCAAACACTACTAATTAAAAGAAGGGGAAAATCCAACAAAAGGAATGCCAAGAATGCAGCTAGCAGATTCCGATTCCACTCGTGATATTTACTGCAGCACACAAAACAGACATGCCAATAAAAAGTAGAGGATTTTATAAGTCAATTCACTCTTAAAAATCTAGGGATGACTGTGGATTGATGCCAAAAGCGAAACTGATGGAATTTTGCTATGTGGTAGAATGGTTAAACTAAGATAGACATGCAAGAATCACATGCACATGCTTTGGTATTGGGTCGAGAAGGGCATAGAGAATAAGGTTATATTTGGTTCAATTCTCCTTTTTGCTTATTAGCGCTTAGAATGGGATTTTAGAATGGGCAAGAATGAAAAAAAAAATGATATTGTGAATCAAACGTTTTTTTTTTCCCAAAACATGAATTATTTTCAAGCTTCTTATCTACAGCAGCACCAGAACTCCATTTCCTTCTTCCTATTTGCGAGAACAATTATGTTAAATCTAGTTAGTCAAATTCAAATTGGAGTTGAATAAATATGTAATTGGATCCAATCACCAGCATGCGAGCCTTATCCCAACCATATATGGGGTGGGTTACATATGTCATGACCAGGGTTAATTTTTGTTTTTCCACATTGAAGAATAGATTTCTTGAACTCCATGGAATCTGTTATAATCAAAATTGAGAGACAAGAAGTGCCTACACTGAGACAGGTTAACACACTAAAATCTCGATATAACTGGTTTACACTACTTATTAGTTATTTCACCAGTAGGCCATTGACAAACTCTTGCTAAGTGTTTAGGATCAATAATTGTTGAGATCCATGCTATATGTGCCATCATCTTGCTGGCTTTTTAGTTTGGCATGCCCAAGAAGATTGAATATAATAGTCTAAACAAAACCATGATGGCAGCCCAATTTATCATGTTCTATCTTAGAAAACATGGTTTGCTAATTTAGGCATGAAATTCCAAGTTATATATCGTGTATCTCATACATCATTAAAACTCCACTCACAATATATATATATATATATATATATATATATATATATATATATATATATGTATGTATGTATATAGGGAGGGTATATATCCCTAATGTTGTCTAGTCCGAGATGTTTTGAATCGAAGATTCAATCTGATAATTCAGTCTATTGGATGAGGTTGAGGTGGAAGGATGAAGCTATGTATCGAGATTTGCAACCAGGAGAAAAGGTCAGAAGCTCGAGGAGTTGTTCCCTAGGTAGGTACTCTGACACTCAAATCAGTTGGGTAGAGAAAGATATGGCCAGGCTGATCAAGTTGAAAAAATGTTGGCCTGGGCTCAAGAGATAGTGCAAAGAGTATTCTCCAAAAGTCCCTTACCTCAAGTGGGGAATACCTATTTATAGTTGGGTGTCCGTGTCCCAAATGGATAGGGCTCCCGGGGTTGTCAGGATGAGGTCGCCCGTCGAGGTCTTCCGGAGGTTTCCTCGGTGGAGTTTGCTTCCTTGTCCATGCAGGACACTCCTTCTTATTCGTGCTCTTCTGCTACGCATGGCGTTGACATGGCCTGAGAACGGGGCAACTACGGAGATTGCTATGTGGCTTCCTTGGCCAGCTCAACCATCACCCGAACACTGCTGGGCGGGCTGATTGGTTCAACGCTCGTGCCATTTCCGTTACGGTCCGATGGATGCATCATTTTGCCTTCCCGAGGTCACGCATGTGCGAAGTGCGACATCAAACTGATGTCGTTGATCTGGTTTGATATGGATCGTTGGTTGCTTTTATAAAAAGGGGTATGCGCACCATTTCACTTTGCCATTTGGGAAGAGTATGTGTCTTGGAGTTCGGTTGACGTCCCTTGCTTGATATCTTAGGTGTCCCAAACTTTTATTCTTCGATAAGATGTCTTCCACCACATCTTCCTTGCCTACCCTTTTCACTAGGTACACTTTGGAGGATTAGAGTGCGGGTAGTCCTTAGCGTGAGACGGCCGAGGTTAGGGTACTAGAAATTGATGCCAGCCAATGTGGCCGAGGTCGGTGACAAGGGCAACGTTGAGGTCCAAGAGATTGGTGTCGATGAGGCTGCTGAAGCTAATGTGGAGTCGTAAAAACTAGCCCTCAAAGGGGAGATTTGGTGAGCGGTTTGCCTCGGCTCCCTGTAGTCTTCCTTTGATCAACCTGGCTCAAACCCGAGTGGTGTACCGTATTCCCAACGAATACAAATTGAGGTGTCCTGGGATCGGGGAGAGGGCCACTTGGGCCTACCCCAAGGAGATTTGTGTATACATTCATAGTTTGATAACTGGCCTTGGGTTCCCTTTAGATCTTAGGGTAGTGGTCGAGCTGCTCTACTACTGCATCTCAAGGATATTGAGATTACCCTAACAATGTTTAAATACTTTATCCTCTTGAAGAAGCACAAGTAGGGGTACTACTACCTATCAGCTAGGCCGAACACCAAAGTGCTTGTTGGGGCTCCCTCTTCCATTAAGCATTGGAAAAAGGGTTTTTTCTTTGCGAAATGAGGAGGTTGGTTGTTCTCCCTTGCCCTGTCTGTTTCAAAGACCAAGAATAAGGGTTCTTCCTAGGCCGAGCTGTCGAAGGAGGAGATAGCTGTTATGAGGAGGATAGTACGGGTGCATATCGGAATTTACACATCATCTCGATTGCTGACATTGGCTGGGTTAAGGTTCCCTTCGGCCAATCAATCCCAGTCTAGTCCGTAGGCTACGCGGTTCACTTGTTTTTTTTGGTGCGCTTGTTTTCACTTGGTTTTGACTTTGAGGTGAATTGTGCAGATTTGGACATGGTTGGTGCTAAGGAGAGAACTCGACGTATGAAGGCCACGGCTGCAAGGAAGGCACATGTGTCAAGGACCTTGGGCACACAGCTCGGGGCTGCGGAGCTCCAATGCCGCTCGGCAGAATGCATTCCTTGGTAGGGGAAAAGTCGAGGCCAACAGAGGAAGTCGTGGTGATTGACTCTAAGGCCACGACCTAGCTCAGGTGATCCCCGTCATAGAGAGAGGATGCTCTGGAACACATTTCGGTAGAGGGCTCGATCGTTATATAAGTGTCTCAGTGATCGGTTTGGCCAAAGGATACCCTTGAGACGGAGGGGGTGGCCGAGCAGCTTGCCTGGGGTGTGATGCTCCCCGACATCAAGACGGAGGCCAATAGCCACATCAGTAGCTTCTTGGAGAGCACGACTCTTCATCAAATCATGGCAGGTAAGTTTTGCTTTACTTGTTCTTCCTTGTTTCTCTTCTTTTGTACTAACTATTCGGTGTCTTGTAGTCGGTTTGTTCGGTCATCGGCCTTGTCAATTGCCTCCGTGAGTTGCGATGATTTTATGAGTAGCGAGAGATAGAGAATGCCCAACTGAAGGCGGAGTTGGCCAAGTTGAAGAGTGATGTTGAGGAGAGGGACGACACTGTCCATAAACTGAAGGGCCACATCCATGATCTCAAGGAAGCGTGGGATGTGCTGAGGAGGAGGCCGAGGCGAAGATAGATCGGGCGAAGGAGGAGGGTGTCTCTAAGTATAGAGCTTCGAAGGCTCATCAAAATGAGCTGGACGACTATGCTATCGACTCTTGACATGAGGGATTCACACTCAATCAGTGAAGGGCGATGCGTCAATTCCTGAAGGTGGTTGCTGTCATTCAGGGGTTCGGTCCATTCGATATCGAAGAGCCTAATGGTGAAGATGCTATTGTTGTCAACGCCTAGGAGTGAGCCAAGGATCTCGCAATAGATATTTGATGCTCTATCTTTTTTTGTTGTACAAAACTCGGTATGTCGAGCTTACAATCATTGTATCAACTATTTTTTTTATTAATGGAAGTTTGGTCTTTCTACCGAGCACTTTCTATGTTGTTTTTCCCTTCTTTTTCTAAGTTGTTGCACTTCAGAATTAGGTTGATTGGTAGGGACCATAGGTCATGCTTTTGTAGTTGGATCTTAGGCTAGTCAAAGTTTCAGACTTGACGTTGTGGTTGGGGTCCTTGACCATATGGCCTTGGTCTCATGTTGGTCGATGTCTTTTATTTGACGCTAGATAGCCGGGGTTTTCGACTTTGTGGACTCAGCCTCATATTGACCAGGGTCTTCAGCTTAGTGGCCTCAGTCTTCGATCTTCGGTGGCCGAGGTCTTGGCTCTGATTCTCACTGGCTGAGGTCTTTGGCTTTGTGGCCTCGGTCTTATTCTAGCCGAGGTGCT